TATTGTCACAAATAGCAACATTTCCTTCTTTTTTTGTTGGTTTAATAGTATTTCACTGCACAGGTATTTCACTTCCTTGGTTAAATTTATTACTAGGTATTTTATTCTTTTTTTAAAAAAATTGGGGGAGGGGCAGGCAATAATGTTTATTTTTTTGATGGAGGTACTGGGGAATAAACCCAGGACCTCGTGCATGCTAAGCACGCACACTGCCACTCAGCTATGTAACCTCCCCTCACCATTTTATTCTTATGATGCAATTTTAAGTGAGATTGTTTTCTTAATTTCTTTTTCTGATATTTCATCATTAGTGCATAGAAGTGCAACCAATTTTTGTACATCGATTTTGTATTCTGCAACGTTACTCAAGTTGTTTATTATTTCTAACAGCTTTTATTTTTTTTTTGGTAGAGTCTTTAGGGTTTTCTGCATATAATATTATGTCATCTGCAAATATGAGTTTTACTTCTTTTCCAATTGGATGCCTTTTATTCCTTTTTATTGCCTAACGAGATTGACTATGACTTCTAATACTATGTTGAATAAAAATGGCAAGACTGGACATCCTTGTCTTATTCCTGGTCTTGAAGGAAAATCTTCCATTGAGTGTGATACCACCTATGGGCTTCTCATAGATGGCCTTTATTGTGTTATACCAAATTTGGCATTTCATTACGAAGAACTGAACCTGTATTCAAATATAAACGTTTCAATAATGATCATTAAAAGGCCTTTTAAATTGGAAACAAAACTGAGAACTTGTAATAGTGCTGGCTGATTCAAAAATTTCCCCCTTCAGGATTAAGTTCACTCTATAATTTCAATGTGGTTTTTTTTTTTCAGGCTGAAAAACTAACAAATGAGGGACTCCAACATGCTGGAATGTTGAAAACACGCTGAGTGAAAGTACCCCATCATGAAGGACCATATATTATATGAGCCGATTGATATGCAATGTGTCCAGAAGGACAAATCTATAAAAGCACAAAGCAGATTAGTGGTTGCTCTGGACTGTGGGGGATGGAAGACTTGTAGACAAAAGATTTCTTTTGGAGAAGTAATGAAAATGTTAGAATCAAAAAAATGATCCAAAAAAACAACTGAGTTGGACAATTTAAGTAGGTGATTGCATAGTAGGCGAATTACATCTCAAAGCTATTTTTAAAATGAGAATGCGGAAACTCCAGAAAAACACTGAATCCACTGATAACTACTCTACCGCAACAAGTCCACACTGAAATTTAACGGAAAAGCGAGCGTTAGAAACCGTAAGAAGCAGTATCAGTTCGTTATCTACTGTCACGAGAATTCTGTGAATTCACCACAAACCTCAGCGGCAGGCTCTGCTGTCCTGAGCTCAGGGGTCTCGGGACCCACACTCTTGGTTCAGCAGGTGTTCTGGTCTCACCTGCCTTGGGGAGGCTGCTGTCTCCTGATGGAGAGTGGCCCCACCTGGGATGACTGGACTTGTGTCTCATCACCCAGGCACCAGTCACAGCAGCAGCACAGAAGGAGAGAAGAAGATATATATATATCTGCCCTGAACCTCTTCGTGGGTCACATCAGCTAGCATTCCATTGACCAAAGCAAATCTCATAGCCTAACTCAGAATCAAGAGTCAGGAGAACAGATTCGGCCTCTTCAGTGGAAGGAACTGAAAAGCCCTGTGACA